CAACAAGCTCTATAATGAACATAACTTCTTGCACTGTAAATAATCTGTAACAATATGTTAATGCTATGTCCTATGTGTCGAAGTATGTTGTAACAGTATGATGTGCTATGCCTTATTTGTTGTTAATACTATGTCCTATGTATACCGCAATCAGGTCCCCTGTGGAAGGGGCGGTACGCTAGAGAGGTAGTGCATGGGGGCTATACCATTTTTGTCAATGGCGATGTGCCCCCTGTACTTGTTCCTGTAGCTACCATTGCAAAATGTTTGGCGTACATAGCTCGGACATAGCTTCTAACGGAACTGTTTCGGCTAGGAACCTTGCCGTTCAAACCAGAGCTAGGAGAAACTATAGGAAAAATTTCTTCTAGCGTTGCTTGTCGCTACATCATCCGTAAACGGGTTGTCGCATCCGTAAATGCGTTAACCCATTTACGGATGATGTAGTCACTTCAGCTTCATCCCTAGCCACAGTTCATGCGTCTTACCAGATGGCTGGTGTTTGTTATGATAATATCTCTGCAACCATTGACTAGGTGTTTTCAAATGGTAAGAGATACCGAGAACGTTACTTCTAAAGCAGGAGTCATGCACCTTATTTACTAAGGAAACACTAGACAACGTGAGGCAATATGCGGTATCGCACTGTTTGATGAAAGGTGAGGTGATGGAGTCTTAAGATATAGCAGAACCATGGGCATAAGAACTTCAGAAATGTGACATTAAATTATATGCTGATCAAACTATATGCGACGAGTATACAGACTAAGATGAACAGGATAAGCCCCTAGTCGTACCCCATAACCTCAATCCAGATGCTAAGCCCATATGACGATGAAGAATGCAAACATGCAAATTTTCCTTCCGTTCACAGATCGCCTCACTAATACTTTTAGACAGACTGATTAAATTTGAAAAATAAATTAAAGAACTTATGTTTTTTGAATGGCTGTACTCTGAGAATCCGTTAGATGCGAGGGCGTATGGAAGATAAATATGCTATATTCCGTACAGTGGTAATATTTGGTAGAATCTCCTTCAATACGCATTTAATTTGTTCATTCGTCAATTACCGAGGCACGGTCGCATCGACGGATTGTATTTTACCGAATCTGGATTTTATACGTTGAGTAGCAAAAATACACCGCATCCGCAGTATTTTTTTAAAGGAAAAAAATTATTAATAGGGAGTTTTTTTCTGTGTCGTCTTATTTTGCGTAATTGATCAATAAACTATAAAACTGTTAGTGTTCTTTTCTGCTTGTTTTACTTCGGCGAAGCAAATATCCTCAAAGTACAGTTCTTCTGCCGTGACAAGTCTCCAAGTTTCATGCTGGATACTGCTTTTTGTAAAGTTTCATACATATTTTTACTTTCCGCAAACACAATCAGTTGCCTGTAGGACATGGTAAAGATACACATGGTAGTCAAATGTGCTACGCCTGATGTACTACTCCTACACCACGCAGCTATATTTCTGCTCAGCGCACCTGTATCCCCACCTTTCTTTCAATTATCAAAAATATTAGCCCTAAGAAATCTGCCTTACTGAAACGGTGTCTTACATACGATTAGTCGGTACAAGTATAGGCAAAGCAATGGCCGCGGCATGGAACAAATAACTTTTCTATAACCGAAAAATTAGCTCAGATTTCCCAAATAAGGAAATCTAAACCTTGTTATTATTTTAAATGGTAGAATGTGGAGTTTATTTGGATCCTGTAACCGCTCAGATCCCTCAGCACGTCCAGTTTCTCGCAATACTTACTGATAATAACGACAGTCTCACCATTTCAAGAAATGTTTTCCCTGATATTAGGAAAAGCCCAGCTTACACTTTTTTCCTCAATGAATGAAAGTATGATGATAATTTATACCTGAATTATATACTGATTTTTGATTTTATTGAAAAGAACAAGTGTTTAGTTTGTGTTTAGTTTAGTTGACTTGTGATGGCGACACTATTTGCGTTGACTTCATATTAAACGCTATTATTCAACTAGCCAAGAATCTAGCTAAAAAAACTTGAAAATTAGATTAAATTTTGATTTGAAGCCAATTTGTGCTTGTAAAATGTCAGAAAAATGTCAAAGAAATTTAAATCTTCGTTTCATCCACACATTATAATAAAAGCTATATATATTATTTAGCACTATAACGATGGAATCTGTAGCATTAAATCATTTTAGATGTAAGTTTTATTGCCATTCCTGAAAATATATAAATTCCTTATAGAATTTATTTCGGAGACATATTTCGGTCTGTAATCTTACAATAATACGTAGAAGAATCAAACCGATTAAGTTTCCTCACTTTTTCAATAACTAGCAATACAAAATGCAACATACGCTCAATGAGACACTACTAAATGGACTTATTAATCAAACATAATAAAGTTGCCAAACAATTCACTTCATAATCGATTAATATGACTGTGAAAAATGCTTATGTATTTCAGAAAATTTTAGTTTTCTTTCCCTGTTTATTTTCTACTTTACTTCAGTCGCACATTCTAGAATTACAAAATTATTAAATTAGCATGAAAGAGGCAAAGCTACAATGTTGAATTTCTTTGATCCAGTGCTCTTTCAGGCAAGAGAAATCTAGCCCTCCATTTGCCAAACGCTTTCTAGATTTAGAGTATTTATTATCTGCGTTGAGTTAGATTGAAGAGGTGCCAGGCGCGAGTAAGTAATTTAAGCTTGGTTTATTTTAGTTAGGGATTTTCTAGATAGAAACGGGAAAAGAGGCCTTTTTTCGCCAGGATTGGTTAAATATTTCTTTCAGCCAAATTCCGTTAGCCTCTTCATTGTTCATCTGCAAATTAATAGCTGCTTGACATTGTAAAATTTAGTTCGCATGTTCCGTTTTTGTTTTTAAAATATTAAATTATTACGTAGCTGCTCAGTTCTTATTTTAAATTTTAACTTGTTTTGTATGCTTTTGAAATGCATCATTTTTAGATAAAAATATTCGTGAATCTAATTCACTAAAAATATTTACCAACTTGAAACATAATATTACAACATTCATCTAAAAATTAATAATTATCCATTAATGGAATACTATTAATAATTATACGTTAATCGAATATTATTAAAAACATGCGTTACCTTTCAATGGAAAAAATATAATACGCCAAAAAAAGTTAAGGATAAGTTAAATTAAATCTCTAACGCCAGATAAATGAGAGAAAAGAAGGAATTTTCTCCCTCCTTTCTGCATGCCTTCCTGGTGTAACGGTAGCACACGCGGTGCGTATTCGAGAGGTCCGGATTCGAGTCCCGGCGAGGGCATTGCATATTTTTCATGTCTCCTGCTTCAAAATAATCTAGTGACTTTACAAGGTGCTCAAAATTTAAAAATGCCTTAAAATAAGACTTTAAAAATGCCCTGACGACCTCTCTTATGCAAAGCTGCTGTCTGGGGCTGTTTTCTAATGATTATTTGATAACATTCATTAGAAAATCAGGGAATTTTTAATGATAATTATATTTTTTTCGAATTATAATTCAGATAAGTTTACTTTAAATTTTTTAATGCAGTTAGCGTTAGAAACAAGCTTTATTCGGAATTGTTTAGCTCTTAGAATCCGATTGCTGTCGATTTATCGTAAGGCGCAAATTAGACGGTTGTAATTATCTCTGTCTGTATCACGTAATGATCTCTAAATATTAGACTATAAAATACCTTTGATGCAGTTTTTAAAAATTAGAAATAAACTTGTTTAGCATTTATCACTCAAAATGATGCAGTCATCAAAATAGTACGTTGCATATTTGCTGCTTTATATGAGCTTCGGCAGATTTTGCTGTTTATTTTTTTACAAGTATGGAATGATGAAATGCAGCTGAAAAATATTTTCATGCAAGATTATATGAATGCAGTGCTTCATGAGCTTTTATATAAATATCCTGTAAGTGTTGTGCACACAGGAAGTAAAGTACGTTTACGACTTTACAACTAGATTAAAAAACACAGTTTTTTATTTAAACAATTAATTTAAGCCATAAAATCCAACAACCAAATCAATAATCTTTTTTAGTTACATAACGCAAAACGTTGCCACATATTATCTAAATCAATTAGTACAGCATAGAAAAGCAAGTAATTTTATCATTAATGTATTAAAATATCTTTTATGAAGAAACTTCTTCATCGTTTTTCCCCTCAATGTCAAAACACACGTGTTGAATATTTTAATTATTGTTTATGAATGAACATTTTAATAAAGGAAATATTCCTTATTTTTTTCCTTTTACGTTTTTTTTTTTTTTTTTTTTTTTTTCATTTTACGACGCAGTTTTTCTGAAATATAATTTGATTCTTAGTTAATACGTTAGTTTAAGGAAATCTTAAAATGTATATAGTTTCCGGTTTTAAGGAAGCTTCTAAATAAGATTTTCTTAAAGCATGCAGCATAAAAAATGGTTCAGTACTGATGCATCGCTATTCAAAATTTTTGACTTGACCTGCAGCTGTTTAATAATCTTTGTCGACGTCAGAAGATCCGGGAAAATACTAGGTGCGTTGAAAAAAAATTATCCTACATAATTTAGCTTCCGAAGCATTTGCGCATATGACGCAAATGGAGTAGGAGACAAAAATGCACGAAAACATAATTTTTACGAAATTCTTCTAATCTAAACTACGAAATTTTATCTGAATAATTAAAAACTGTTTTATTCGTTTAAAAGACATAAATTACAACTAGCTATTTTATTGCAAAATAATATATAGTGTAATGTACTTTATATTGTGTATTTCGCACATTCAAGAATTTTTGTATATAGACACCGTACGCACTATTATCTGGAAATGATTTCACACAAGCTCATATCAAAAATTAATTACGCTTACAAGAAGAAAAAGTAACCTTTATTGCAGATAAAATTAGAATAATCACTGTTAAATTTTTAATCGATAATTCAATACTAGTGCTCTTAATATTAAATATGTACTTTCGTACTGTTTATATAATTTAAGTAAAGAAAACTTACCTCAATTCCGAAAACACTGATGTGAAGAAGTATCTTCTGAAGGTTACGAAACACGCGTGATCGAATTCAAGCAGAACAATGATAAGAAAGAGAAGAGCGATGGTATTTAAACTGAGAAAACAAGAGCGCCACCTGTAAGCTTGCGCTTTTATTGTAGTGTTTTAAACAAAAGTAGAAACATTAAAGTTTCGATTTAAAAAAAATAAACATTCTGAAAGCGATATATAATACATAAAATAGAAATTAACCAATTATTAGATCTTCGCGTAAGTCTGCTTCTTAGAATTACAGAAATTATAAATTAGCTTTTAAACTCATTATTTCCAACTTTTCGGTCTATAATATGTACATAAATTTCATTAATTAATTAGTTCTCGAAATACATTTTAAGATCATTACAGAATTTCTGCTTAATTATAGTAAATATTCGGGGGTTACAAGTGAGATGAATGCCTGAAACATGATACTACAATTTTCGATCATGCATGTAATTTCCGCTGTAAAATAATAATAATAATTTTTAGCAATATCCACACTTCCTAACTTCAAGAAAACAGTGCCATAAGAAAGGCATTTTTATTGCTTAATGACGAATGTTAATTATACCGTATAAAAATATCTTGCTTTTTTAAATTAAGGATTGAAAATGCCGCCCAACTGGAATAATCTTTAGTTATTCTGACTGCCGTACCAAAGTACCTGAGTTCGAATCATGGGATATTTGTAAATGTTTAGTGTATATTCGGCATGGGGGCCCTCTAAATATGTGGCGAAAATGCATGCGGAAATAATCTTCGGAAAGTCCTCCCGAGAGATTGTTGGAAGAGGGGAGAGATGTGGGAGAACTTTAGACCCGTACTCCCCGACGTTTCTTCCTCAGAATTGAGGGCGGAGCTGAGCTAAAGTCTGGCAGCCATCTATACGGTGCACAAGGCTCATGCCAAAGCGTTTGATTCCTTGCCATGATGAAATGTCGCAGGCTTGTACTGACCCTTGTCAGGCAAGTGTGACTGCTAACAACAACAACAGGATTTAAAATGAATGTGAGTATATAGAAATGAAATGTGGGTATATAGAAAATGAATATCTAAAATGATTTATTTAATAAACGAACCTGTTGCTTCAATATGCACGCTGCTAGATAAAGCACAAGCCTTCTGTGATATCGAGCATGTACACAGAAAAAAGTTTGAAAGTTGTTGTTATTGCCTCTAATCTCATTTGTCTGATCTAATCAGAACAAGTCCATGAATTTTATCGTGGCAAGAAGTGCAAGAGTACCCTGTCGTTGGCATGGCCTTGAGCTCTATATAACTGATAGTACAACTGAGCCCAGCACCGCCCAGTTTTGAAGGAGAGTATCCCGGGGAACGGGCTCTGTCTTCTGCTCCACTTCTCCTACCACCGTCCATTTTGAGTCACCCCATACCGCACAGACACTATACAATTACAAACATGCATGCCTACTATGGGATTCCAACCCGAGACCATCGGTATGGCAAACAACATCGCTGACTAACTTTAAAGTATATTAAAGATGTGGTTTTAAAGTTCAAAATTTTGTTGTGTAAGAATTATCTTTGGAAAAAGTGAATGAAAAAAGTTTATCTTCTTTATAAATGAATGTCTATAGCGGCACAACAGAAAAGGATCAGGTTTCGTTTTTTTATTCAAGTATCTACCGGCACAACGCTTTACAACGCAGGAGGGGAAATGAAGAATTAAAGTAAAAGGGTTCAAGTTCTATCCACAAGCCAACTTACTTTTGCTTCCCTTCAAGACATTTTTTTTCCTTTCAAACTGGATTGCCTAAAAAATAGTAGAACTCGACGAAAGCCATTTCACTAAGCGCGAAAACGAATCGGGTCGAATACTTTTGCATCATTGGCTATTTGGTGGATTGTGCCAAGAAAATGATGAATATTTTACATTATAAGCGTTGCAAATAGAACTGAGGCTCAGAATTCTGCAGGAACGATTGGCGCAATTTTGGCTGGATCTCCGCCAACTTTCAGTATTCGATGATGCCAGCTTTTAAGGTTGACGGGATGGTACAAAAGTACCAAAGCGTGTCAGGGATGAGGAAAAACATTGGCATATCCAAATTGCAGCTTATGGGGATTACTTTGAAAGTGGTGCAATAAATATTGACTTATAAATCGAAATCCTGAGATTTCTGAAATCATTCTGATACATATTGATCACAGCAAAACGTGTTCTACTCAAGTAATTTCTAATTAACCATTCCTGTCACATATACAGGGTGTACCATAAATGTTGCAACAAACTTCTAGGGGAGGTAGGGCACATCATAAGGACTAAGAATTGCATAGGAACCTATATCCGGAAATGTCAGGGATAAGTGGTAGTAGAGGTAGAAGATAGGAAAACAAGCAAGACAGTGATTAATTTTAACCATTTATTGGACATGAATACAAATGGCTTTTTGACAGCATGAGTGTTACAACAGATGTTCGAAGTTTGTACCATCAGATGCCAAACATGCCTGACACCGACGGACCATTGATTGCCGAACGTGTTCAGCCACACCGCGAGTTTCTTTGATTGTGGCAGCTGCACAGGCGAGTCCTGCCATGAGATCCATTTCAGACACAACAGGATCGTGATATACGACATTTTTCATGGCTCCCCACAAAAGGAAATCAAGGCTTGATAAATCCGGTGATCGTGGAGACCAGGGAACTGGTCCACCCCGCCCAAACCATCGACGCAGGAATGATCTGCTCAAATAGCTACGAACATCCCGTCCAAATTGAGTAGGCGCCCCATCATGTTGGAATCACATTGTTGCTCCTCACATTTGGTTGAACATCTTCAAGCAAGTCGGGAAGAACCTGCTCCAGAAAGATCAAATAATTCGAAGCATTCAAATGGTCTGTTGGTGTAAGACATTCAAATGGTCTGTTGGTGTTTGGCGTCTGAATGGTGCAAACTTCGAGCAGCTGTTGTCACATTCAAGCTTCCGTACACCATTTGTATTCATGTCCAATAAATGTTTCAAATTAATCACTCTTGCTTCTTTTCCCATCTTCTATCTCTGCTACCACTTACCCTTGACATTTCCGGCCATGTTTTTCTATGCAATTCTTAATCCTTATAATGTGCCTTACTTACTCTAGAAGTTTGTCGTAACATTTACGGTACACCCTGTATAACATAAAATATTTGATTTGGATTATTTGGTTACGACAAAGTATACGAGGGCCTAACGAAAGGATGCCTTTGTGGAGGACTTTCTAAAGGAAACTGACTCGTATTAATGCTACCAATTGGAAAAACCATAAAAAAGCCGCCCATGCAGCTATTCTGTTCTCTTGGAATCGATCGAACTACCAGCATTGAGCAATTTTACTAAAATAAAGTATTTATACAGCACAATTTCAGCAATTGAAAAAATTTCTTTTTAATTAATTTTTCAATTTTTATGTGCATAGCTTTCTTCAATCATACAGATAAAGCAGTTAATGAGAATGATCTGAATTCTTTGAACCATATATGAACATTCAGTTAATCGAACGGAATTCAGCTAAGCGAACTTTTACAAAATGTAAGCTTGATCATGTGTAACAAAATTTATATGAATAAAAGGAAAATTACTATCAGGCTATGAATATTTCGCACATTTAATTTGAGTACTAGGCACCCCTGTGTTAATAGGGGTTACCCATCAACCCAGCTGTGTAATCCCTAAACACTGATAGTGCCAATTCCGGAGAAGGAGCTAGCTGCATGGGCATTTCTGTGGTTTTCAGCATATGTAGCGTAAATACGAGCCAGTTTTCTTTAAAAATTCTTCTCGAGAGCGTCCCTCCTTTTAGCCAGATAGTTCTCGCATGCTTTGCCATTTTCAAATAAGGTCAAACCGAGCCTTTGTCATAGCGCCTCGTTATAATTTTATTTACTTATTATTCGTTGCCCACGCCTGGTTTCTCTCTTAGGAATCTGATTCCCTTCCAAAATACTTTTTATAATGATTTTCCACCCGCCAGTTAAAAGATATAAAAACTGTAAATTCCTCGTGATTAGCGAATTACTCTACATTAATTTTTAATGTAAAGAAATGCAATGATTTCTGAAATAGGATGGATAATGCTATGAATTATTGCAATTTATATTTCTAACAAATGGCCCCCAAACTAAGCTTTTATATAGCATCTGACATGTTAACCAATTTTTGAATGGAAACTCGAAAATTAAATTATTTTAAATGTTCGAAATTTCATTTACGATTCAGGACCTTTCTAGAGCCCTTAAAATTGTTATATGTTGTAGTTACAATAGGATGTCCAGTATTCTACTTTGGGTTAAATTTAATGTAATTAATTAGCAGTTAATATCGATTATGTTCAGTAACTGTCAGGACAAAATGTCGTTAATTAGCAGTTGTTAATATCGATCGTGTACAATAACTGTCACCATCCTTTTCTCCTCACTACAACTTTTTTTTATTATTATTCACAAGATATTTCAAACTCAAATCTGGGTATTTGACTCAAAATCTTCAAATAGCAATGACCTGTAAATGTAGTTCTAGTAAAAGAAATACAAAATACATTACAATAACCAAATATTTTCTGATTTCCCCCTCTTGGTAAATTAAAATTTTAATGGCTTCCAAAGCTTACCTAGTAGTTACAAGGCACAGCTGGATTGGCTAATTGGTTAAATTTAAAAAAAAAAAATTAAACATGTGTTTAAATTTAAATATAATTTATATAAAATGCATTTACTTTAAATAAAAATGACATTGGATAAATGAATTGCAAATGAGACGGATAAGCGTAGCATTTCTTTCTTGCACAGCTTTCGAAATCTTGGAGTTAAAACCTCAGTTTCTGTTTCAAATTTATTTTGTCACAATACTTGCTTTTTAAAACAACGACCGCTAACAGCACAGCTTTACACGAAGATGATATTGCATAAGAATTGCTTATGTTTTAATGATATTTAAAAATCAGTTCGTTCTTTGCTCAAAATTCCGTCTTCAGAATAGTGTCGCAAGCCAATTTAATAAAATTTCCTTCTACGGAAGTAATTTCAGATCAAGTTTTGGTACTGAAAGGCCTCGAATGTATGAGCACTTGTTCGACATTATCTT